ATTCAAAGAAAAAAAAAAAAAAGGGAAGAAGAAGAAGAAGAAAAATACTATTGCTTCCTTCCCCTTCCTTTCTTGGTGGGCTGTGCTTCTGTTTGTTCTTTCCCACCAACTTCAGATACATCGACTGCAAAAAAATTATGTGATTTCATAGTTGTTAGAATAATATGAATAAAAGATGATATTTCACAATAAGAAAAAAGTAAAAGCATACCAATATATATTTATACAACAGCAAGTAGTGAACTAAGACATACAGATTTTAGACCAACAATAGTATATGAGAAGTGTGGCTCAGCTCACCGGAGTTTGTTATTTAGCTAGAACAGGGATTAAATATGCAATTCACTATTATGCGCGAACAAATGTCTTCTCAAAACTTTCGAGCTAATTACTAATAATATAGTCCGCTTGATATCATTGTGCAACTACATGTTTTGACTGAATCCTTCCACCTCTTAAGGGAGGCTCGGGAATCTACTTGATCATACCGCAGCTCGATGTGTGGTGGAAATCATTAATTTCGAACCAAATGTTGCAATTCGCATGGACACTTTGCTTAGTGACAATTCATTTATTTTCTCCCCTTATTTATATAACATTATGATGATAATTGATATGATTTGGGTATGAAAAGCTGAAAGGTTTGAACTTTAAGGGCTTGTTTGTTTATTAATTTACCAACAAAAAATCCAATCTCAACTCAACATCTAACTCTACAGCACTATCTTCAATATTATCAATATAATTAAATCATATCAATCAATCATCCTTACACATCACATCTCACATAATTTTAACTACCTATCACATTTCATAATCTCTCTCCTACGTTTACATCAAATCAACTTTAATAATTTTATTTTAAATATTCTTTTAATATCTCACTAAAAACTAATCAAACAAACTTTTTTTTCAAAATTAACCATGGCTAAAAAGAAAAAAAAAACAGTAAAAAACAGGTTTATTTGTACACAAACAAGCCCTAATTCCTCTTCATACCTCCTTACCCAATTTTAGAAAATGACTGACCACAAAGAATTTTATCAAATAATGACATGTTACGTTCCGATTATCACAATTAACTCCAGAAATCCATGAACTGTAAGAAAACTCGCAAACTTTCCTCGACATAATTGCGCAATGATTCCAACACTACTGTTTCTCTAAAAGAAGTTAAAACAACTGAAGGGGGAGAACGACAAAACAGCTAAGGGGTATACACATGAACTTCATGGATAAGCCTGTAAAATCAAATCTTTACAAATTTCACACATGTTATCACTCCCTTCTCAAATAACAACAAATCTGCTTGTACAATAATTGTGATCTTAAAAGCCCGTAGCTTACACCACTCCCATTTTATATTCACAAAATCTAACCCTCCCTGTGTTGAGTGGGTACTGAAGTACTGAGATGCATATGCAGATGAAATGAATATCGAAAAAAATACCTTCAGGTCCACGAGCCATCAAAGTAAAGAAGATGTTATTAAACTTCTCCATCTTCTTCGCATCCTGAGCCTGGTCGGTCTTGAATTTGATACACTGATAAGAAAGTAAGAAAATTCTAAGATAATGAAGATGGCTCATAACTCCACAACTTTCATATCCTATTCACGTTTGACAATAAATAATTTTTGTTTTTTGAAATTGCTGCAAACTATGGACAGAATGGACATGATAATAAACTTGTCCAATACGGATGCAATATAAAACTAATAACTAACACATATTATATCAAGGGCAGAAAGCTCACTGACATTGAAAATCTTATTTCCAAGTCATCAAACTATGCTAAATTCTGTCTTAATTAAAAACAAAACCAAGACTTTCAAGACTTTTAACAACGAAAGAGCATATTAATCCAATAACTATGGCCTGCATTAGTAACTCGACACAATAATACTGATCAGAAGCATATTCAGCTCAACCTCAGCTGATAAGGTCAATGCAAGGCCAAATAATCCGTCAATCAAAATACCACAAACAGATAACTCTATCAACCAAATTGAAGAACATGTAAAAATCTAAATAACACGACAAAAGGATCAATCTTTGTTTTGTATTTCGTAACTAAAGTATAATCTGGGTAGGTTCTCTATGTCATGCAAATCATTCTAACACTAGAATTAACAGTTATTTGGGAATTTAAGTCACTTATATTTGTTTTGCCCAGNGAAGCTAAAATCCATAGAACAATGATCATTCAGCAACTTTTTACCTCTCTATCATCGGTGACTTTAAGCACCAATTTACCTTCACAATGCCTGTACTTCATGGAATAACGAGTCTGCACCACAAGAAACAGACAATAACAATCGGAACCATGCGCATACAACGAGGCGAAAAATCAAGGAATCGTTCAAAAAAAGCAAAAAATTAAGGAGCAATTGAAAAAAAAAAAACCTTCTCGGGATCGGAACGAAAAAGATGTACGGATTTTTCGACGAAATCATCCCAAGATTCAATGTAGACCATGAATTCCAAATTAGGTTTTCACAGCGTTCTGAGTGATACTAGTTTGCGAGTTCAGCTGCTCAGATATGAACTGAGTGAGTTGGCAGGCGAAGAACTCTTTCTTCTTCGAACGTTTGGGCTTGTCGGCCTAGATGGTGGCGTTGTGAATGTTGGGTCTCGTTATTGGATCATACCTATTGATAGAAACGTTGCTGGCCAATTTACATTGAGAAAATTAAAACATATATTCTTTATGTTACATGTTTACACATAATTAAAATTTATTTGTAAAATTGCGGAATCACTACAAAATAATTGCACATATACCAGAATTCAAATTTTAGTCAAACTATCTATTAATTAAGGAATAAATCAGATTAAATGTGATTTACTTTGATTATATCCTTAATTATCTCTTCTAAAACCGCCCACTATCTTGTTTCTTAAAAAAAAAAAAAAAAAATCAGCAAACCTTTTTTCTCCATGGTGAAAACCAAACTCCCACATATTTCTTGAAAAAATCTTCTATTTGTGTCGATGAAACACCACATAGGAGGTCGACGGCACATCAAATATGTGGCTCGTCCAACGGTGGCAAGTCCAAGACCTTCACCTACAACGTGAAGGGCGGTCAGAGAATTCTGACATTTGTTTTAGTAAAAGGCGTGACTGATCGAGAACTCGATCTCGAGGCAGAGGACCGGCGGCTTGACACGAGCATCATTGGTGAAGGTGATGTTGGAAGGGCCGACTGTCCCGGCTCCAACGCCGCCAACGGCTGTATCATCGGTGAACTTGGTGCAAGGTTGGAGCAATTTGCAAGAACAATAAGAGAAGTATTGTAGCGAGCATATATCGAAACTTTAAAATGAGCAGTATATGTTGAGTATATAGACAATATATTTTCAGTTCATAGACATATTATGTTTTGTATAATAAAAAAATTTATGGATACATCCGATATGACTTGTTTCAATGTTTATTGGCTTAATGGCGGGAATATACACGAACTTTACTTGATTGACCATTTAATCACAACCTTTAAACCTTGGCAAATAAATAAATACATGACCTTGTATTGTATCTGGGTCGCTCTTACCTCGGGATCTCGGAGGTCTCCCTTCGATGGGCCTCCGAACTGCTGCTTGTTGGACGACCCTCTGAACTGCTGCTTATTTTTTTTCTTCCTCTCCGAGGTCGACTTCGGTTCTTTAGGAGTGAATTCATGGTTAGGGATCGTCATGGATTCCTTGGCGATGACATGTTGCTGCGCCCTGACGAGAAATTCTTGAAACGTGTTGGGTTTATTTTGGCACAGTGCCCATTGAAACATAGATTTTGATTTGAGGCTAGCAATTGCGAAGACCAGTAAGGTCTCTGAGTGACACGGTTCTATGTTCTGCACACGCTCGTTAAAACGAGCAACATAATCCTTCAAACTTTCATCTTCCTTCTGAACGATGTTGGTTATGGATTCTTTTGGGATTAGGCAGACTTGGGCCCCAATGAAGTGGGACCTAAAGGTCAACCTGAGCTACTGCCATTTCCAAATTGAGTGATGTGGCAGTGAGTGATACAATTTTTGGGCCCTCGGCCCAGAGTTAAGGAGAACATACGGCATCGTAAGGCATTCGAGGCCCTGGCCCCGTGTAAATCCATCCAAGACACGTAATGCCCGAGGTGGGCATCGGGATCTGAGGTCCCATCGTAGAGACCGATTTAAGGAACTTTTACTTTCTCAGGCAAGGGTCCCGTCATTAGTTCGGGTGCCAACGGGGAGTTGTTTTCCACGTATACGTGCTCCGAGTTGGTGGGCTTATGGGGGGACCCTTCCTGGGCTTTCTGCCGAGCTTCAAGCTCGACAACCTTTTTTCACAAGGCTCTAGCTCCGTCATTTCTTACTTGGCGGAGCGACATTTTTCAATCTGCTTCTCCGGCTGTGGGAATAATGGCCAGGCAGAGGTCGTAGGTCTGCGGGGACGCCCAGAGTGACTTTCAAAGGTCATTTCGGGGAGATTTTTCACTGGTTGAGCCACTTTTTCCCCCCTTTGCATCTGTTGTGGGTTGTCATGCGGCTGAGAGGTCACGTGTGAAGCTGCTGCGCGCCCGTCTGTACCTTGGGTCGGTGGGGTGCCTTGTTTTGCCGGTATCTTTGGCGCTATTGACTATCTCGACACCGTTTTTTACTCTCCCGACATGATTCTGGTCATGAGGGCAGAGAAGCCCTTGACAAATTTCGGGTTTTGGAATAAGGCAGTGGAATCCATCAGGTTCGGCACTGAGTTGGTTCTGCCGGCGGTTGGTGATGCTCCACGGCTGGCGCCGGCTCTGGATGTTTGATCGTCCTGACCTGACTGAGACATGGCTCGGTAGAAAATGAGATGGAGATGATGATCGAAATGTGCTTAAAAGATTTGTTGGATCGAAGATTAACTCCAAATATCTTGTGCATCCATCCTTCTAGCGCCAAACTATTGTTATATGAAATTTAACAGCGATAATCACATGAATTAAATAGATAGAAAGTTGTAAAATAGCTAGATATTTATAATTTTAAGTCGGGTTTTTAGTACAAGAGGTCGGTTTTATGTGGATCCGAGATGTCTAATATGCATATTCAATGTGTCGGAAAAAAATCCTAGTACAGGAACAAATATTGCTATTTATAGTAATTCCAGGCTCGTCTTTTGGGACTGGTTCGGCAGCGTAAAATGTGATTTAATGGTCTAGGGTCATCTAGCCTGCAGGGGATCCCACGGGTAACGATGAAGGTATGGGCAGTTGATTGACAGGCGTCCCATATGTCTCTCATTCTGCCATGATCTCTGTTCTTCATGGACGTCGGTCCTTGTCCCATCGAAGAGGTCGGTTCCCCTTTAGGTTCATGTCGAGCTCTAATTGGGCTGATCAGGTTGGTTGTTAACAATATATAAGTGATATATTTCACAAGATTGAGCCCTCAAACAAGTTACAAAATGTAGTGCGATGTATATTAACGGTTAGACTGGTCAAACCGCCATAATTTTTGAACGAAAATGAATATTGAAACTGATAAATATCATGTTATTGTTTATGTTGTTTTTAAGTACATTTGTCATATACTAATTTCTCATCACATATTCACATTAGTAAACAACTACAGTGGTATTAATAATATGTATTGTGTTTGTCCCATTTTTGTTGTGTTTTTCGTTGTCATTTTGTCTTTCTTTTTCCCCCATATTAGGTCTTTTCGTTGGTTTTTAGTTCGTTTTGTAGTTTATTGCATGTTTTCCATTATTTGGAGTCTTTTTGTGTTTTATGGTTGTTTTCCCGTTTTCTCCGATTTTCGTCTGGTTTTGGTGTGCAGGTTAGAAGCTTTGGGAAGACAGGATTTCTGGAAAATATTAGCTGGGCATGCATATTTTAATAGAGGAGTTTGTTGGCGACATGTAGGAAAAAGCGGAACTCAATTCCGAGTTCGGACGAGCTCAAACGAGCCCAAAACTTGAAGTCGCGCAAGCTGCCCAGACCTTAGCGGCGCTAAGAGTGAAATGCTAGTTGCGCTATGGTCGTTAGCGAGGTGCTAGCGACGCCAGAGACTTTCAGGCTAATTAGGGGTTAGCGCCGCTAAGGTCCAGTTTTAACAAATCACGATTTTCATGGATTTGGAAGGCTATTAGATCGAGTTAGAGCTGTTTTGGGGAGCATTCTCAGACTTGTACTCGTTTTTCTTCATCTCAAAACATATTTCTCTCATCTTTTCTCTTAGATTTGATCTTGGATAGTGAAAACTCCAAGATTTTACCTTTGAATTTGGATTGCTCGTTGTTTTTCGACATTGGATTTGTTATTAATCGTAAGCCTCTCTTTCATTTCATTGATGAATGTTATGGCTTTGCTTGATATGAATGTTGATGTTGAATTTGTGATGAGTAGCTAAATCATTATGCTAGGGATAGAGGATTAATGATTTGATTTCGATTGTGATTGTCGAGTTCGTTGATTGTTCTTCTTATGCGAGTTGATCTTTTAAAAGGACTTTTCAATTGTCGTACATGAATATTGAGGATTGTTGAAGGGTGACACTTCAACTTCCAATTGATTTTCAATTGAGTTCGAGTTATTCTTGCATGATGTTGGGTATTCTAATGGATTAGTCGGTTAATCACCCTCTAGTCTATATTAATCAACTCTTGGAACCGAAAGGGGAGGAGTCAGTCGAAATAGGCTCGTATAAGCTAGGCTTGTTCGTAACTGTATTGCCTAGGTGTTAAATGACTTGTTAATTTGTCGTTCAAGTTTGTCCTCTTGTTACGAAGAGTTATTGAGGATGAATACTTGAACGAGCAGGTTATTCAAATCACTTAACCAAACAATCACTTGCCCGATAATTGCATATCAAATCAAGATTATTATCCCCGATTCCCTAGCTACCTTATTCTAATTGCTTGATTGCTTTTACTCTGCTTTCTGAATTTGCGTTTTTATCTTCGTAGTTATTAATTAAAAATCAAACCAAAAATCTGAGTTAGAATGTTTAGGAATTTTGTTTCTCTTTTTGTGGTTGAATAAATGTGCAAAGTAATTCGGTTAACCTTTCTCGAGAGACACGACCCGGTGTTCGAATCTTTCGATTCTACTCCGATAAAAATATTTACAACATCTTGCAGTTAATTTGATTAGTCTAGTTGATCAAAGTATGTCTATTCATGATTATAATTGGGTTAAATGATGTCTTATATGAATGTAGTCACAAAAGTTTTATTTATAATTAATCGGTACAAAAATTGACGAAGTTTGAGGAATATATAAGAAATGATGTCATTTATGCTGCAACATTTGTACATTAAAATGTTTTTATAACTTCATGTGATTTGTTGTTCATGCTTGTATCATTTTTCAAGCAAAGAAACTTTGCCAAATAACACCAACGATTATGTTGCCGTTATATCAATGTGAAGTTGGATTGCAAATTAACATGGTAAAAATGGAATATGATTTGTAAAGTATGTTTTCTATAAGTACATGAGTGAATTATTTGATTCCAAAACTATTTCTTTTTTTACTAGATTATGTTTTAGTTTGTGTATTAAGTTATACAGCATTAACTTTCAGTATTTAAAGTAATTGTCGTAATCGCATCTGTCATTATAAACTCAGATAATGAGACGGAGTAATTCACTAGATACTGTTCATAAAAGAGAACACGTGTAATGATCACAATTTTGAGTACATTGTACGTTACATAGGTGGAGATAACACGTTTAATGTTCACAATTTCGAGTAAGCTGTAAGTTACGTTGAATCCATGTAAGAAAAATAACGTCATTTTCAACTGTAAAAAATATTACCGTATTCGTTTTTCGTAACACATGAACTTTATATCTTATCATATCACGAGTAGAATCGAACACACAAGCAACGATAACATTCACACAGGGGGAGTTTTATCAAAGAACGTGCATTACATGGTCATATTACAAAATAAGTAACAATATCATAAACATGTTCATCTTTAATGCGTTTCGAATCGACATTTTTCCAGCCAGATCAAATCGGATTTCAACGATTTTCGATTCCACATGCCCGCAAATTCACCTAGTATCACTTCCCAAGCCCAAATCCGAATTTACTTACAAGCACTTCCGCATAATGTGCGAAAACCGCTACATGCTCCATCAAAACCTCGATTTTGACCACTTTATATTCCAAATGCAAATCTCCCTCACCACAAATAATCAAAGTACAAACGAACACTCCCACGAAAACTTACGAAATTTCCTCCAAGGTGAAAGAAAAATAAGGTCAATCCAAAAACCCTAGCTCGAGTTATTCCTAATTGAATCAAGCACAAAAACACACCCTTAGGCGCCTTGAGCAACCAACCCACAAATGCAAGTGCCAACTCCCCAACTCACCAAAAGGCTTACACCGTAGATTAAACGAAATCGGACGGCCCAAATTCAAAAGTTTACTATAGCCTCAATCCACGTCAGTTGTCTCTCGACCAATCAGATTTCGTCTTCTCGGGTATGAGCCTTTTCATTTTCGTATTTAAAGCTGCCCGTTTTCTCGTCTGAGACTCACCCCAAAATCCCACCGCCGGTAGATCTGTACTCCAATTGCAACAAAACCCTAACCCTATCTGTTGAAGACAATTCAATCATGGCCACCACGGAAGAGCCAATCATCCCGACCACCGAGCCGGAGGCCGAGCCGCCGACTGCTGAGGAGCCTGCCAAGGAAGAAGATCCTGCGCCCAAACCCAAGAAAGCCGCCCCCGCTAAGAAAATCCCGGCGCCGAGGAAGCGTAGCGGCGCCACTCACCCTCCTTACTTCGAGGTACTGGTAGCGCTGATTAATTATCGTTTGATTTGTTTTCTTCGATTCATTTTAGTGGCCTTTGATTGATATGCCTGATTGCGCGCATGCAGATGGTTAAGGATGCGATCGAGACGCTGAAGGAGAGGACGGGATCGAGCCAATATGCCATCACCAAGTTCATCGAGGAGAAGCAGAAGAACCTGCCGCCGAACTTCAAGAAACTCCTGCTCATTCAGCTGAAGAAGTTTGTTGCCGCCGGAAAGCTCAACAAGGTCAAAAACTCTTACAAGCTCCCACCGGCCCGTGCTCCCAGATCCGCCGCTGCCTCTCCGACGACGAAGAAGAAGCCGGCTGCTGCTGCCGCGAAGTCAAAGGCCAAGCCGAAGCCAAAGGCGTCTGCCGCCGCCGCTAAGGATAAGAAGGCGGTCGCCTCGAAGTCTAAGGCGAAGCCCAAGGCCGCTGCTGCGAAGCCCAAGCCGGCGTCTAAGGCGAAGCCAGCTGCTAAAGTCAAGCCGGCTGCGAAGTCCAAGGCTGTGTCCCCAGCGAAGCCGAAGGCCGCCCCCAAGCGCAAGGCTCCGGAGAAGTCGAAGGCTGAGAAGAAGCCACCGGCTAAGGCGGCGAGAACGTCGACGAGGTTGACTCCAGGGAAGAAGGCGCCCGCGGCGGCACCGGCGAAGAAAGCTCTGGCTACGAAGGCGAAGACGGCGAAATCACCTGCGAAGAAGGCTTCGGCGAGGAAGGGGAGGAAGTAGAGATCAGGGGTATTTTCGGGAAAGTGAATGTTTGTTTGTAGGGATAGTATTGTAAATAGCATGGATTATCTTTGGATGGGGATGCTATTAGGGAGGGCATGATAGAATTGCATTCTTTTTTCGTTTTTCTTTTTTCCTTCTGTTTTCCCCCAGTCCCCCTTCTTACAAAATTTCCGTATTTTTCTCTTTTAATGTTCCAGTTTTTAGGGATTTGAATCAATGCAAGTTCAAATCAACTCCAGAAAGAAATTAATGGGTTTTCTTCAAGTGTTCCAAGTTTTCCGTTTTTGCAAAGTTTTGCCTTATTTTTATGTGGATTCCCATTTTTGAGCCGATTAGGGTTTATGTATAAATTGCAGGATGATTTTTGTTTTCATTAATGGCACAAGTTTGTTGTGCGAATGAAGTTTGGCATGGACGATGAACATGAAAGAAGGGGATTCAAATTTCATAGGTTGAAAGACTGTTTACAACTCGCGTATTGGGCATCTAATGGGTAAAATCTTAATCTTTGCTGGTTTTAGTTCTAGCTACTCTGCAGTTTAATGGATATTTTGACAGGGCAGAAAAGACTACTGATTAACACATGAATTTCATGGATAGTATGAATGTGTGTTGGAATTTATCAGTTTTATTGTGCTCTAATGGAGGCTAAAGAATTTTTAGGGGGTGGGTAATAATAAGACTTTGAGTTTCTTCATATTGAATCTTAAGTTTAGATTTCTCACTCTGAACTTGATCTCGGAACTTATGAAAAATGTGTCGTTTCTCCATAAGAGGCACGATCGACACACTTCCTTCATATTCCATGTACAAACTTGTAACTCTAGGGTTGTTAGTTAATGCTATAAAAGCTTGATTACTCTTTTAATGATTGTGTGGTGCATGAGTCTTAATTATAGTCTACATTAGATTTTTCTCAATCAGACTTGTACGACAACATTATTGATCTCGGAACATTGGAAAAACATGTCGTTCGCCCATTAAAACATTTACTCTAGTGTTGCTAGTTAATAGTAAGCTATAAAATTCTGATTATTCTTAATGATAGTAAGATGCATCTCATGTCAGGTGAAGTAGAAAGCGCGGCCCTTTAACACTGCTTGAAATAGTATCAACTTCTCTAGATTCTGTAGGTATGAAGTTTACCTATTATCTTTTTTCCTATACCCTTTTGCTAACGATCTTCGAGTCATTTTGTGGCTATGAGGGAGATGACTTGGCTCGTAGGTTAGTTTGGCTAATGTCAAGCTTGGCTTTGGGCCTATCGAAATCAAGCTGTGCACCTCTCGTTCGTCAAAAGTTTTCTTAAAGCCTTCACACAAACTCTTGCATATCACAATAACCCACCTAACACGATCGTCCAAAAATTCATATTCAACAAAACTACACAAAACTAAGTAGTCAAGTTAGCACATCAACAAATTACAGATTTCAACAAATAACAACTCATAGCAATATATTTCTCATTTGATAGGATTTAAAACTATACTAAATTTGTCTCAAATACAAATTCAAGCTTCAAGGTTAGATCTCCCGTGCAATAGCCGCATCTCTTCCCTTGCCTCATCGACAATAGTTATCAACTTATGAGATTGTTGTCTTTTTTTCTCTACAACCAACAAGTGTAGCTGAGCATGGAAACTAGAAATGTTGATCCGATTATTCACAAAGCAATCCAAATCTTTGTCATAGCTAAAATATCTATTTTGGTGGCCACGTCCCACTTCATCTTCATAATCCAACACAAACCTTGGGTAAACTGAGAAAAATAACAGGAGGATGTCTAAGATGCCATGAGCCATCTTTTGCTTGGTACAATTTGGGTTAATTGAATCATAAAATCTTCTCAATCCAACACAAACCTTTTGTAAACTGAGTGAAAAATATAACAGGTTGCCTAAGATGGCACGGGTCATCTTTTGCTTGGTACAATTTGGGTTAAGTGAATCGTAGCTGAATTGCGCAAAGCAGTGTAGCTACTGAACATTTAACTTTTTGGCTTCGTTACACATGTTGAGTAGTTACATTGCCTTGCATTTAGCTGGTGCTAATGATGATATAAGGAAGTTGAAGACAAACAAAAATGAACTTCGGTCCTCCATAGACAATTTACTGAACCCAAATTGTACCGAGCATAGTTACATTGTCTTGTGTAATTTAGTTGGTGTTAATGATGATATAAGGAAGCTGAAGACAAACAAAATTGAGCTTTAGCCCTTCATATACAATTTAGTGAACCCAAAATTTTGGCGAGTAATAAATGCCTTGTGCCATCCTACGAGAGAGATATTGCTATGAGTTATTTGTTGAAAGCTGTAATTTGTTGATGTTGGGTGCTAATGTGACTAATTTGTTTTGTGTAGTTTTGTTGTACATTCTCTTTCTGATGATGGAATTAAATGTGTCATTGTGATATGCAAAAGTAGTTTTTGTGAAGGCTTTAAGAAAACGTTTGATCTACATACACTAGAGGCACGATGCACATTTTGATCCTAGTAAACAATGTTTTCATTAGTTAGTTTTGATGTAAATGGGGAAGGGAAAAGGCAAACTTTGTTGGTGAGTGGTTGTACCAATGGAACCTCTCAAATGAGATTGTATTTGACCACCATTCAATAGTTTGCTATGCCAAAAGGGAAAATGTCTTGGGACCCTTGTAGTTATTGATCACTCGTGGAGAGTTCAGTGAGTGCACTCAGTAGCATCTTAACGATAAAAATATTTTATCAGTGGCGTAACGATTGAATGATCTAGCAAACGTGAGATGTAAGATGATATTTTACCAGCATAAGCTTTGAGCAGAAGTTATCCCTTGACTTGTTGTGTTAAATAATGATTCTTGATGAATAGGAAGTGGTTAGGATTTGATCCACGGTGTGATTTTCTTTTATGACATTTGTGTGGAGTAAATATCCATATGTGAACTAGCAGTTAAATAGCGTCCCCAGAAGAATACTAAGATTAATATGCCAACAGATTTAATAGAATACCATATAAAATTTACAGACTGGTTAGTTTAAGCAGTGGTAGTATTTGCATATGGATTCAGTTTACAGTGTCATATTTTTTCTCAGTACAGTAAAAATTAATACCTACAAACGCAGTTAATTTGTGAAATTACTACTGGGATCTAGCCTAGTACAAAGTTATATCTAACAAGATTTTGAACACAATTCTCATGAGTTTATATTTGACTGATTTGCACCTTGATGAGAGGGGATTCTTTTGGGTACCCTTTCTGAATTCCTTCAAGCAGTAATCTCTTGAAATACCCTTTCTTCTCCCTATTCCATTCAAAGTACACAGTTTTGAAATTGTTATCTTTTGATCAGGCACTATCATTTTAGATTGGGGAAGTTTGCCATAGTCAATTTTTAGTTTAGGGAGAAAGAATGTCTTAAGGATCAAAATGGGAGCCTCAACTGAATAACTGCTCAATAGCTTTCATCATGCATTTTATATTTTATGTAGGTATTAAGTTAAGGTGCTATATAAAAAGATGTTCCCGAAATTCCTAACAGAGAAATAACTTTGCTGCTGGTGCTGGTCACCATGAGTGTGCATTAGTTTCATTCTTATTTAGCATAAATGCATGCTTTCTTGCTATCTCTCAGGTGAGGTACAAACACAAGAGCTGGGAATTGCAAAATCAAATACATATTACTAATACACGATAAACCAAATCCACCACTCACATATCTTGAACGAACAATTTAGTATCGGTTATCCTAGTTGGCCCTCGACGAGTCGTATAAGGCGCGTCATGTTAATGTAAGACGAGCCTCCTTTCTCCATCGCTCGTCTCGCTTTTTTCCCGAGCTCTCGTGCTCTCTCTCTCCTCTCTCTCCCTTTCTCTCCCCCATCCATCAACTCCTCGATAGCCGCCTTAACGACTTCCGACTTCACCTGAACTCCTCCTTTGTCCTTTTCTCCCACGAACATGACAGGCACCTCGACCCCTGCCCGAACCCCCGTCCCCACCACATTCACGATGAACTTCTCGTTGCAGAACTGGTCCGCGAAGACCGGCCACGTCATCATCGGCACCCCCGACGTCGTCCCCTCAAGCGTCGAATTCCACCCGCAGTGCGTCACGAACCCCCCAACGCTTGGGTGGGAGAGTATCATCACTTGCGGGGCCCACCCGTGGATCACGAGACCCTTACCCCGCACCCTCTCCTCGAACCTCCCGAGCCAAGACACGAGCTCGAGCTCCTCGTTTGACGTGCTCCTCCTCACGACCCACACAAAAGGTCGGCCCGACGCCTCCAAGCCCAACCCGAGCTCCACGAGCTGCGAGGCGGTCAGGCTCGACAGGCTCCCGAGGCAGACGTAGACAACCGAGGCGGGATCCTGAGCATCGAGCCACTTCAAGCACTCCCCCCCATCGATCGAGGCCTCATTATTTCCTCTCTGTGCCTTGTCGAGCTCGTCCTCGTTGCATAGGGAGACGGGCCCCACGCACCACACCTCCATGCCTAGGGTTTCTGCGTACCGCCTCACGTAAGCGGGCTCGAGCTCCTCAAACGTGTTGACCACGATCCCGGAGGCCTCCGAGTAGGCATCCTCGATCCTGTCGACGAGCTCGGTCCACCAGCTCGGGACCTGACCCGCCGTGCCCTTGATCTGGGCCTTGGTGATCTCGACTCGATCGGGCAATCCGGGCAGCGCGAAGTACTCGGTGTCGGGCACGTCAATGTCCTTGAAACCCTGAGAGACGGCCAACATGTTCATGCACAACAGGGTAAAACAGCCAAGCACGTGAAACACGAATCGTGGGATCCCGAGCCGAGTGGCCAAGGGTGTCGACCATGGGTAGAAAAGGTCGGAGATTATGCAGGTCGGGGGAGGGTCTAGGGTTCGGAGGGCTTGTTCGACTTGACTTTGTAGCAAGTCGATGGCTTTGTGAAACCTGGAATGGTCATAAACAAGCAAAAATGACTGAAAAACTTAACATAAACTAAAACGAGCACAAATTAATCACTCAGAAACACATAAAATAAGAGCAAAAACATACACAACAAAAACCTGGAATGGTCTTCAGAAGAGCGAACCATGTCGAGGCTTTCGCAGTCTTCTGGAAGGCCAACTTCGACAGTCGGGAATCTGAGGTGGGAGATGCGGATGTTGGAGCCGGAGGCGATTGCCCGATCGATTATGGGTTTGATTCTATTGAGGTTATAAGGAGATATTAAGATCGTGACGGTTAAATTGCGTTTGGCGAGCAATCGAGCGGTGTCTACCATGGGAATCATGTGGCCTTGGGCCATGAATGGGAGGAGGACAAAGTGAGCTTCTTGTTTTTTTTGTTCCATGGCTATTAATATGAAAGCTTTTCCTTTTTTATTTTTTTGGGTCTCTTATAGTATTCTTGGAGTTCATGTGATTTGGAGGCCGAGTTAAATAGGAAGTGCCCAATGCTTGGTCGTTGTATAATCATAACTTTTAAAACTAATAATTAAACTTAAGCATTATTTAATTATGCAAGCGTGAATCAAGTTGCATGTATTATATTATATTTATAATTTAATAATCATAATTTTTAAAAGTAATAATTAAAGTTAAGCATTATTTAATTATGTATGCGTGAATCAAGTTGCATGTATTATATTATATTTATAATTTAATAAACAAAAACAATATGGACTCTTCGTGTCATTCACTTGCTACTAAAGTCGAGCTCTTTTAGTTATGCATATACGTGCACCCGCCAACATACGTGTATTATTTTGTATAATAATTTTAAAAACAATTTGGAATCTGTTAGAATATTCCCTTGCTAAGGAAACAAATGCATATCAAGTTTAACTTGAGTTCCAAAATAAATTTAAGGAGACATTTTTCTTCTTATGCCACATTAAATAGACCTTATCTTTTTTTTTTTNGGAGTTTTTTCCTTTTACCAAATGTTTTTCCCCTACTTGGCATAAAGAAATTTCTCAAGTCAATTAATAATTATATTTAGCCATGTGGACTTGTATTGAGTCCTGGTAAATGTGGAGTATAAAAAATATTTTTTTCCTCTCATCATTCAAGACTAGTACGTAGCCCGTGCAATGCACGGGACATAAGTATTAAATGAGTCATTTCCACAGAATTTGTCCGTTAAGTAGCTCGTGCGATTCACGGGAGATATTAAATGAGTGGACCATAGGGCTTGTCCGTTCAGGCCTAAAAAATAATAGAGTTTGATCATTTATCTTTTTACATCTTTTCATCAACGTCATTTTTTTTTGTCGGAACATTAAACCTGAGTCTGGTAGCGCAAGCCCGTAAATTAATTAATATATTATCTCGCTCACATGTTTATAATAATATAAATTTGATTTCATTATATATATATATATATATATATTTATTCCTTGATATAAGAAAAATAACAATTTTACGTAATCTTGTTCCTCGTATAATACTCATATTATTTTATTATAAAATTTATTGTAATATAATTTCATTATTATTATTTATGCAAGTTATAGATGTAGTCTTCTTCTTCTTTTTGTTTTATATAATTAAAATATTTAATGTATGTTCATATTATTTATTAATGTAATTAATTTAAATTATGTAAATAAATTTAAAATAAAACATTTTGTACAAACATTTTAAAATATACACAAATGTTTTTTTAAAATTTAATTTTTTTATAATAAATAAACATCTTTGAAATTCTATGCAGTTATTAAACATCCTTGATATAAATTCGAAATCATAATTGAGTTCTATGCAATTATTAATTCTGTCTGATGTTATGAGAAACAAATCATTCGGAAATGATTATATGTAAGTTGAGATAAAATGAAATGTATCAAAAAAATCTGCTTATGATATGTTCCTTTAAATATTTGAATGAATTTGAAATTCAAATTACAAATCAATTGTAGTAAAATGTACGTGACAATATATTATAAATATACATGACGTCAGTAATGTTATGAATCTTTAAGTTCCTAAAATATATATTGTTTAGATATGAAACTAATTAACTTATATGTTAAGAAAATATATATAAATATATGTATTGTGCGAAATATACACGTGACAAGTTATTATATTTGTTTATATATTGTTTGCATTGTTTATTATATTTGTATATAAATATATTGTTTATATATTTTTTTTGTATTGTTCGACAAATTATTATATTTGTTTATATATTGTTTAAATATATATTATTTAGATATGAAACTAATTAACCTATATGTTAAGATAATATATATAAATATATGTATTGTATGAAATCTTTAACGTGTTTGTTAAATTTTTCCCCTAAAAAATTCAAAATACATTTAGCCATGTTTTGTTTGAAGTTTGAAATATAAATATGCATCTATATAACAAATCCCATGATTTATGCTACTTGATTTTTTATTAAAAAAATTAAAAAAATATACCAAAAATAGAATGCAATTAATATTCCCTATTTTTTTGCTTACTATTTTTGAAAAATGTTAATTCTTATTATATACACTAGTACGTAACCCGTGCCATGCACGAGATGTAAAATTTGGAAGAATAATATAACCTCACGTGCATTAGGATCGAAATTGAAATCATTAAAATACATAGGAACATTGTTGAATCATAAAAAGTTCGGTAACATTCATATATTATTAAAAACTTCCTTGTACACAACATTATGAGTTTGATTATTTGGTAACTCCTCATTATCACAAAATAATATTTCCAAAAGAGACAAAATCAAACTAATATTTTCGGTGAACAAACTAATATTTTAGGATTTCTAGGATTTGTCTCTTTTTGGTGAACAAACTAATATTTTAGGATTGGTTATATGAATAAGGCTACCTGTTTTTGGTGTTCTTTTCATTCATATTCATTCAAACAATCCGATGACTTGTATAATGATATCCGAATCTTAAGCCGAAATATTTAAAAAAAGAGTTTTTAAAAATTGAAAAGTCAAGACAATCAGTTCAGATTAATTAAAGGTCAAAGAATATTCGCTCCTTGAAATAAAGACGTGCGCTATCATTAACCAAATATCTGATTATTGATATAGAGTGGTTACCAAAAAATAGAACGCGATAAGGACGCTTCATGGAAATATCAATGGGATAAGGTCATAACATATCGCTATACATTTTAACGATAAAAGCTCAGATGGAATGATTTATGATAATTATGTCATAATTAATGAATTAATTAGATGTGTGAAATTGACATAATTAATGAGAAGTGTGAAAAGGACATAATTAATGAGAAGTGTGAAAAGGACAAAAACTTACCAGTTTTGGAAAATATTTAATGCAAATCCGACATTGACCATAATTTGACCTACTATTTTGGATAAATGTTAATTCTTATTATATAAGTATAGATGTATATATGATGGTATTAAGATCTCATTTTTGTCGGTGGCGCAATTTATCTCATCGATATGCGAATTGAAATTAGCTCTCCTTGTTAGCCAATTAACTTATAGCTTATTGTAGTAGATTAGCTATCCTTGTTAGCCAATTAATTTATAGCTTATTCTAGTAGCAGCCTAGCACATACCGGAGAATGATTTGACTAGCGGATTCAATTAGTTAGTTTTATTAGTGAATTCAATATTAAGTACTTTGTCGAATTAGCACTTGATAAATAAAGAAAAAATTATATTTGTTACAATAGATTTTTTTTTTAAATTGTCTCTTTCTAAAATACCATNGTTTTGAGTAAAAAAAATAATTAAATAAGCTCGTTCACAAACAAGTCAAAGAGAAGATTTGATTGGTTAATCCTCTACACAAGGTCCAATACGTTTATCTTAGTATCAATATGCTTATAAACAAACGAGGACGGATTCATTTTTTTCCTACAATTCTGCTAATACAATTAAAATAAAACATAAAGATCAAACATTGTTATATATTTTTTAATTGACATGCTTCACTAACAACTAATATATATATTTTTTAAATTACCTTAAATTAAATCATGATTGGTCAAATCTCTTTTCGAAAATAATCTTATTTCCGTTTGATGCCTGATGAACCATTCAAACTTCATAAGGGAACTTGCATCTTTTTCACACTCTTTCTACTACAAATGAGCTTCTTTTAGTTTGATTTGATGAGCATTATTAGAACGATTGGACTTTTATCGTTTCACATGGGGAGCTTATTTCCCGGAGGGTTTATGCAGTTCACGTGATAGCGCCCCAGTCAATTAAATAGGATGTACGAAACATAGGATAGATAATACTATTTTTTAATAAATTAATTAATAAAAAATGTGAGATAAAATAGTTAAATGATTTTAATAATAATTTTCTTTTGAGTATTTTTATTTTATTATGTGTTATATAATATTATTATTTTAGGTAAAAACAAGAATAAAACAATTTCCATGTATAGCCAAAAAATCATTTTCAATTCTAGCTGAAAAATACGCGAAATGTTTATGGCAAAAATAGTTAAATGGTTTGTGTTATATCCCCTTTCTTAATATAATTTGAAAATGTGTTGAGCCTAAATGGCTGCCTCGCACTCTTCGGAAGCTTATCTGCCAACATTACATGCTTCGACTTTTGGTTCGGATACATTCCCTAATTGTTTAAAAATAAATACTTAATAAATAGGATCCCCTCCAACTCCAAAATAGATAGGATTCTTATATGTCGTGTAAATCCTTCAACTCCAAAATGAATAGGATTCTTATCTTATAGGTCCTGTAAATAGGATTTTTTTCCTTAATATTATAATAAAAAATTTAGACGGAATTCACGAAATACCAAAATAAAAAATTTAGCTTTATATATTATTTTTATTTATATAATTAATGTAAACAATAATTTTTTTATATAGTTTAAATTAAAAAAAATACTATAATTTTACAAAAATAAATTGGACACATATATAGCACCTGCATATTATATCTTTTCAATCCAATGGTAAATAAATAATAATTTGAAAACGTGCTGAGCCTAAATGGCTGCCTCGCACGATTCGGAAGCTTACTTAGCAACATTACATGTTTCGGCTTTTGGTTCGGATACATTCCTTAATTGTTTAAAATAAAATACTTAATAAATAGGATTTTGTTTAATCCGATCCCCTCCAACTCCAAAATAGATAGGATTCTTATATGCCGTGTAAATCCTCCAACTCCAAAATAAATAGGATTCTTATCTTATAGGTAGGGTAAATAAGATTTTTTTGCTTAATATTATAATAAAAAGTTTAGACGTAATTCACGAAATACCAAAATAAAAAATTTAGCTTTATATATTATTTTATTTATATAATTAATGTAAACAATAACTTTTTTATATAGTTTAAATTAAAAAAAATACTATAATTTTACAAAAATAAATTGGACACATATATAGCACCTGCATATTAATTACTTAATTCTTTTTAGAATATTAATAAAGTACATTAAAATAGTTATAGAATATTGAATGATCTTTCTAATATATTTTAAAGAGTTGACATAAAAATAAGGTGCTGAGCCTAAATGGGCACGCTTCGGAAGCTTACTTGGCAACATTACATGCTTGGTCTTTTGGTTCGGATACATTCCCTAATTGTTTGAAATAAAATACTCTCCAACTCCAAAATAGATAGGATTCTTATATGTCGTCTAAATCCTCCAACTCCAAAATAAATAAGATTCTTATCTTATATGCCGTATAAATAGGGATGGCAATGGGTGAGAAACCCGCTGGGGGGACTCCCCCGTCACCCGCCCCCATTAGGAAAAATACCCCCGTCACCCGCCCCCATCACCCGTCTCGGGTCTAGATTTCCCCCAGACCCGGCACCCGTGTGGGTGACGGGTACCCATCGGGTGACACAGACCCGATTTCACTCAATAAAAGTAACACAATAACACAACCATAAGGTAATCATAGATAAAGATCATTGTTCACATGCAGCTTAATGAGTTCATCTAAATGATCAACTACCATCCATCAAATTTAGTAGCTCAAAATACACAACTCCTCCAGAAGTGCTAATCCTCGACCAAAAAAAAAAAACCAAAAAAAAAAAAAAAAGAAGTGCTAATCCAATGCCAAGGATTACAAGTTCATCAAGGGCATCTCCAATGGCAAGGATTACAAGTTCAACATGACAACTAATAGTTCATTACACTAAATTACTTAATATATATTAGAATTGCGAGCAAACTGGAGTGTTGTGGAAGGCTTGGAGTTGGAGGTCATCTCAGCAGACAGCAGGGCCATGTCAAAGTAGGAGTTTCTGGATTAAAAGAGAGAAGTAGTACACATTGTTAAATATATGACAATATAAGATTATTGAAGGTAGCAAACATAATTGTCCATTTTTACATAACATCACCTGCATCCCTTCTTGGATCTCCTGAAGGCAGCTCCAAAAGGTTTCAGGCTTGTCCACATTATTAGCATCTGCAAAACAGAATTGCAATAATTATTAGGCAAACATAAAACTGTTGAATGAAAATAAATTGTGCAGAATATTTACCTATATACTTGCGCCGCATCCAATCTTGTGAACACATAAGTGCCTCCAAGATCTCCGGAGTAAGTCGGCTGCGATGCTCACTAAGAACTCGCCCACTTGTGCTAAACGCAGACTCTGATGCAACTGTGCTGACTGGAATGGCAAATATATCACGCGCTATCTTTCTCATTGTAGGATACCTTGTCCCAGCCACCTTCCACCAATCTAGTATGTTGAAATTATCAGATTCTATTGGAACCAACTCATCATCCAAGTACCTGTCTAGCTCAGTTCTGAACCTTGCACCCATTGGCCTTCTAGTTGCAACACGTGCACTGATCGTGGATAAGAAGCCTGAATGGTCAAGTGCTGGAGTTGATTCTATATTATCTTCTTCATCGTCCAACTGATACTCAATCATCAAGTCACATAGGGAGGCCTTGACAGCTTCAACTTTCTCAAGACAAGATTCACTATGACCAAACAGACACTCAAAGAATCCAAGGAGATAATCAGTTTTGAACCGGGGATCAAGAACAGTAGCTATTCCCATCGGCCCTTGAATGTCCTTCCAATACTTATCAAACTTTTCAATCATTTTAGTTGACATTTCTTCTATAATAGGAATCCCACATGCAGACCAGTTCATAATTTTTGTCTTAGCCTCACAAATCTTAAAGAGCTGGACATTGGCAGTAACATAACTAGTTCCAGAAAACAGAGCAGTGATGTCATCAAACATTTTGAGCCTCCCTACCACCTCTCTAGCAAAAGTCCAATCTTCCTTACTTGGAGCAAAATCATATAGCTTCTCTACACGTGTTGCACGGCTAAAAGCAGCCTCGTAAGGTAAAGCAACACTAAGCATCTTGTATGTAGAATTCCACCTTGTTTTGCAATCAAGTCCTAATTTGTTATCAGTTGGCACTTTCACATACTTTGCAATTTCCTCAAATTTTTCTACTCTTTTAGGTGTGGCTGTCCAAAAGGCTACACTATCACGAATCTTTGCAATTGCAGGTTGTATCACATCTAAACCATCCCTCACAATCAGGTTCAGAATATGGGCACAACACCGCATATGCAATATTTGACCATTTAACATCAGTTTATCGGAACCAATCTTGTTGATCAGTAGAGGAATTACCGCATCATTTGTGCTGCAATTGTCCATAGTCACGGTGGAGATCTTCTCATCAACATTCCATTCAACCAAAGCATCATACAGCTTGTCAGAAATAATACCAGCAGTATGGGGGGCAGGCACATATATGAACCTAAATACAGAAATAAACACATGCAATCAGATCACCACATACTGCAGAAAGAAACACGCAGACATAACTAAATCAATTAACAGTAGCAATGCAAGCATTTTACCTCATTATAATGTTTCTAAGTGTCCAAGAGTCATCAATGAAATGGGCTGTTACAGCCATGTAACCTCTTTTTTGATTCTCAGAGGTCCACATGTCTGTAGTGATGCCCACTCTAGACTTAGTTGCAGCCATGTACTCTAGGGCCTTCTTCTTTTCTTCCATATATGCATCCATAATGTCTTTCCTGAAATTAGGCAATACAACACAGAATTAGACACTTTGTGAAAAAGAAATTGCACGGTAAGTTCACAACTGTATAATCTCACCTGATTGTGTTCCTAGTCACCATCTTGAATAAAGGCTGAAGGGCACTCACAAACCTCCTAAAGCCGGTATGGTCCACCATAGATAGAGGGTACTCATGGAGTATTATCATGCCAGCAAGTTCTCTTCTAGCCACTTCTGGATCAAATGAGTAATTTTCAACAGATAACTGTCCTGACTCCTTGGAGGCAAACCTAAGAGACGGTTGAATCAAAATCTTGTTCTTCCCTAAGAGTTTGCACCTTCGATACGGACAGCAAGCCAGATGATCATGAAGGTGTTTTGTTCCACTTGATGATTTTGCTGAAAGCTTCTTGTCACAGTGCATGCATTTTGCCTTCATCTCCCCCAAAAATTTCACTCTCTTGAACTCTTTCCAAACAGCAGAGGTTAGCTTCCTTTTAGAACCAACATTCATCTCTTCTTCTGGCTCATCATCTTCTATTTCAATCGGCTCTGAATCGTTGACAGATTCAGGTTCAGAACTTGGTGATTGCGGCAAGCTGCTACTCCTACTAGCCATACTTGAACTCCCTACTCTGGAGTACAACATAAATAATAGAAACATTAGTAAAGGCAAAGCTAAAAAAAAAAAACGTAAGGACACATGGACAGTAAAAGACCGTGCTTCGCTTCCAGAGTAGTACACATGGTAAATACGCTCATAGATAACCATTTGTATTTACCATTTGTATCCATCCGTATCTATCACTCAACAATTAAAAAAATGCAAAGTACAGAGGGGTTAGCGTGAATCGAATCAAACCCCATTGATTTAAACTTCTGAAGGATGGAGGAAGGAGGAGTCTTCGGTGCAGGTGCTCCTTCAATGGCGAGACGGCTTCGTTTGCTGTTTATGCGTGCCTGCAGTGGACGGCGGCCCTGTCCAACCACTGCTTTACCTTTTGCAGCGACGGCAGCGGCGGCGTCCCTTCAAAGTTACACCAGCAATTCCGTAATACTTTGTTTAGTTTACAATTTGAGTTCAAAAGCCTTGAGAAAAGAACAAACTAAAACTATGATCCATGTCCATAAGCTTCTGATCATGACCACGGAAAATAAACAGCAAAAAAAAAATAAAAAAAAGAAAGAAAGAAATGGTTACCATTATCACTAAAAGCTTGTGAACAAAGCACAAAAAATAAACAGAAAAAAAATTAAAATAGGAAGATGAGTGAAAATCGTCATCAGCAACAAAAATTCAAGAGAAACATACAAATTACCAATTCTACCATGTAAAATAAGGTGGGAATAATAAGAACACAACTATCTCAATCAATCAATCCTCACTGACCAAACTCCCCTCGTCGCTACTGTAATCTAATCGTGCTTGATGGACTCGTACAAACCATAGTATGGGGAGGAGGAAGCAAAGCACCACAACAGATAAAGAAGAGGGGAAATGGAAATACTCACCCCACGCGAGACGAAATTGGCATTTCCGGTGAGGACACAGCGTTCCCGGTCTGGATCTGCAGCGGCGGCGTCGGTGACTTGACCGCCGGCCTCGAGGTGGAGTTCTGCTCGCCTTCTCCCGTTGCGGCCTGCGGGCTTGACAGCGCCAGCGCAGCCGCGGAAGCGGAACCAACCATCTTGGTGGAGCGGTGGAGCCGCCGGTCGCACGCAGGAGCTGCCGGCGTGGAGTGGAGTGGAGCTGCGACCTGCGAGAGAGCGAGAGCGATTGCGAGTGTGCGTGGTGGGCGGGTGCGTGGGACTGGAGTGGGAGAGCAAGAGGATGAACATATATCTAGGTTTAGACTAAAACATATATTGGGCCAAATTATAAATTTATAATGAGATTACAATATAAACCGTTTAGTAGTGCTGCCTGTTGAGTTTTGGGCTTGGCCAAAACATATATTGGGCCAAATTATATTGGGTGCATTATACCCATGGTTTAACGGGTATGGGGGGAGGGGGAACGGACCCATCCCCGCTAGACCCGATGGGGGGACATTTTCCCCATTAACAGACCCATGGGGCCAAATTTTAACCATACCCGGCTCCTAATGGGGTTTTTACCCATCGGGTTTCGGGTTTTGGGGGCCCATTGCCATCTCTACGTATAAATAGGATTTTTTGCTTAATATTATAATAAAAAATTTAGACGTAATCCACGAAATACCAAAATAAAAAATTTAGCTTTATATATTATTTTATTTATATAATTAATGTAAACAATAACTTTTTATATAGTTTAAGTTAAAAAAATACTATAATTTTACAAAAATAAATTGGACACATATATAACACTTGCATATTATATCTTTTCAATCCAATGGTAAATAATGCATGATCTTTCTAATATATTTTAAAAGTTGAAATAAAAATAAAATAAATTTTGATGAACACCATGGTAAATAAATTACTTAAATCTTTTTAAAATATCTATAAAAATACACTGAAATAGTTATAGAATATTACATATCTTTCTAATATATTTTAAAGAATTGAAATAATTATACAACAACATGTGTTTTTTCTATTATTTTATGTTTTATATTTTTTTTTAAACAACTCGTGTAGTACACGGATGTCGTGCTAGTCTTTAAATTACATAGATATATAGGTTAACAATATGGACTCCTCCATGTGTCATTCTCTTGCTACTCAAGTCAAGTCACTTTAATTTATTTGTTGTAGAATTCAATTCCTATGAAGTTGAAATTGTTGAGTTTAAAATAAATTTAAGCGAAGCATTTTTCTTTTTCTAATGCCACATTAAGNCCACTAACAAATATTATTATTCGCACAAATAGTGAATGCTAGCGATAGGTAATAAAAGAATTCACAATAAATTATGGTGATTTCTTGGATACCGACGACAGGGGATTTCATCTTTACATTATTGTGCTATATAGCTTGTGATTTTTAAGAAAGTAAAACAACTTAATCTTCTTTAGGTTGTTCAGATTGATGCTTTTAGATTTTTTTTAAATATACATTGAGACGAGGACCTCTTCAGAATATTTGTGAATATTTATTTGTTATATTGTTGCTCTAATTCAATTTTATTTTTGAAATAACTACCTTTTTCTAATTTGTTCAAAACTTTCACTAAGAACCTTTCAAAATTTTTGCCCTATATGTTTTCTACTTTGTGTTGCTTTTTTTTATTTTTCTATTTCGTTTGGCAGGTTATTATTGCCACGGAGATGTTACACATAAAATGCAAAGGACACTACATCAGATTTATATTATGCCTTATGGTGGAAATGTTATGGACCCAATCGTTGGATCCGTTATAGAGCCAACTTGACTGAAAAAGAATCCGTTTTTCAGTCAAGTTGGCTCCATAATGGAGCCAACGATTGACTCCATAGCAGGACTGTGTCGGTGCCTCGTTGGGCACCATTTTTAGTGTTACTTTGCTTACTCTCACTTTAGAATAAGAATTAGGAATTTACAAAAGTAAATAATTGCCAGAAAAATCCAAGTGATCAAATCACGTTGATTATTAAATGGGGAATTTTTAACGGTTGGCATTTTAACATCACATTGATTAGTGCCAGATTTTGTGTTTTGGTTTTTTCTAGGTCATTCTTATGGCCCCATTCAATATACATACATCACATCACAATAGGTACCATTTAAATATTGACATGTCTTTTTTCACTTAATTGAATAATTAAAAAATACATTTTATTTAATTACTAAAATATTTTTAGTTAAAATCTTTAAGAAAATAAAATTATAAACTATATTTTATTTTATCTTATTTAAAAGGTATTAAGTTATCCATATATTACACATATATTCAAAAAAAAAGATCGTAAAAGATAATATTTCAAATTGAAGAATCATATGAACTCAAAACATCAAATTGATTAAGAGGTATCGCTGCCCATGAGAAATGAACAAAATGAGAGTACCCATCAAATTTGGACAACCATATCGCCGAAAATCGCAGTTGAATTCTTCATCCACCATCGCGCGCCGTTGAAAATTTGATAACTTTATCGGCGTTTTTCAACTATTGTGAAGTCGAATATGCGAGGAGATACCATTGAATTCCTTATGAAAAAGAGCTTCTATACAATAATACAAATATGTACTTGAAAATACAATGGTTGAATCTCAATTGACATTACAATAAAATTTAATGTGCAATTCTTTGAATTTTCATAGTTCTAACAATGATTTAACAAAGCGTGAAGTATCATATGATGAAATTAAACATTCTGTTTAAAAGATCGAGTCGAGAACATTGAAATGGTATATAATTTGCGGAAATTTATCAATGGTAGGCGGATGAGGAACGACGGCTGACGGTGGTGGTTGCCGACAGTGAAATTATTGGGTCTTCAATTTTGACACGTTTTTAATTTAATATCCATATTTTTTAATTATTTTTATTTTTTATAAATGATATTCAAATTAAATATAAATTTTTTTATGAATTAACTTAAATTATAAATTAAATAAAGGGTATAATATGTGTTTTGCATGTACGGGTCGGTCAACATATTTTTTGCTTTGGACATGAAATGTAATATTGAGATTGAAGTTTTAATCAATGTAACAATGAGATGAGAGAATATCAATTGTCATGTATATATGAAAGGTATCACGCGGTAGAAGTTCTCTTTCTATTGAGTAAAGACAAGTTGTTTGAATTTTTCACAATAAAGGGAATATGTGATAATTCATTTTAGTTTGACAATACATAATGATTTAAAGATTGTTTTTTTTATTAAAAGAGATGAGAAAACTATTCATTGCTCTTCTTATTAGTTAGTTAGTTGGTAAATGATTATGAGAAAGCATCTTGTTTCTTAATTTAATTTTGAGAGGATTAGGCTCCTTACTATTTAGAGCTCTATGTGTTGTAGCAAAAAAAAATTAACCACTCAAATCACATATATAGATAGACTTAGGTGCCCATTGGATATNTAGTATCTTCCGCAAATAGATATAAAAAGCGAAAATTATTTTTATTAAAAAGAAAAAGATAATTTTGAGATTTTGAAATGGCTGTAACTTATAAGTTATTATAACATAAAAGCACGGTAAGTGTTTTACTAATTTGTATTAAGGAGGTGATTGTTTACCAATTCAACCCAAAAAAATCAATGAAACTCAAATTTAACTCAACTTCAATAGTTTCAATATTATCGATATAATTAAATAATATTAACCAATCATTCTTATACATCACATCAATTTTAATTTACTAATCATTTACTCACATAATTTTAACTAATCATCACTTCCAATTATTTTTCTACTACTTTTACATCAAATCAACATTAATTATTTTATTTTAATATATTATTTTAATATATTCACTAACAACTAACCATATTACATTTTTTTAAAATTAACTATGATTAAAAAACAACCAATTAAAAACTAGTTGAATCTATACCGAATCACTCCTAAATAATCAGTCTTAAAAAAAAAGGTCGTATAAGTCGCCGTAAAAGCACGGTAAGTATTCACACGGCACCCTTTTTTTGCCTTTTTTTTTTTCTGTTGAAGATGGTCAAAACTATTGTTGCCTTAAAAAAAACTGTTCCCCAATAAGCAACAATATCCGTAATCTTAAATAAATAAATAAATACATAAATAAAAGAATTGGAATTGGGCCTTAAAACAATTAGTGAATCATTGTACAAAAACAAAGGCCATAATTTCAATTTTCGTGACACTAAGAAAACATAAACATATAAAAGTTTCATAGTCTACGTCTGGAAAAAAAGTATCACATTATCTTGAAAATCCATCAAAATAAACCCTAGTTGAAATATCTTGAAAATCCATCAAAATAAACCCTAGTTAAACAGACCCAGAACAGTGAATTAGATCTCCTAGCAAACCCCAAAACGAGACCTAACAAATACAAAATTCCCGCCAAACCAAATTAGGAAAATCTCCGTAGAAAACTGAACGGTGATATCATATGAAATTCAACGGGCAAGATCACAAAAACACTTTACACAAAACGGCATTGTTGTTCTTTAAACGACGCCAACTATTTGGAAAATAGATCATCTTTTGTGATGGAACCTCACCTTCAATAGAAACTGCATTTTCACCTGCATAAAAGTCAACCAAATTCAGGGCAGATAAAGACCTCAGTTGTTTGTTTGTGGGAGAAACTATAAGGACGTGATTGGTAAGCAGTCATAGTCATAATCAGTCTAATCGATCAGAATTTTTTTCTCATTTTAACTCAAAATCTAACTCAAATTTAACTCAACCCCATTATCTTCAATATTATCAATATAATTAAATAATACTACCTTAAATGTCATTTTGGCTTTATCAACAATTAACCAAATAAATGACGTTTTGGATCTTTTGTACATATTTTTCCATTATTACCCTCATCTAGCTAATAAATACACTACGTCTTTTCATATTCACTCTTCATCTTTTCTCAAAACATCCATCTCTATCCTCATTAATGAGGGTTATTATTGGAAAAAAAAAAAATTTTAATTACTGAGCAACTTTTATATATTCATCTACTTATATATTTTTAACTGCCTATCACTTTCAAACAACTTCTCTTACTTTTACATCACATCAATTTTAATCATTACATTTCAAATATTATTTAATTATCTCTCATCCCACTCAATCAACTTTATTCAAAATAACTCACTCTAACTCAGGATCCAATCAAAATTGATTTTTATGCCTCCCTAACTATTTTACAAGTAATGCGATTGGAAATTAAATTTTCTTTGATATAATTTGAAAATAGATCAAAAAATGGAAAAATTTTTTAGGGAAAAAAATGCGGCAAATTTGAGATTGTGAATAGATATAAAATAAACATGTAATGAGAAGTTAATGTGATATAAGAAAATAGTAAAATACTGACGATTGTTTGGATAATATCTTTTGTTGGAAAATATATAATAACAACTAATGGTTAATGTTTATTTGTGTTAGTGGAATTGTAGAGAAAAAAAGTGACATGAAATGAACATTATCTTGTGATTTTTTTTTTAGTTTCGTTTACAGTTTTAATGAGATAAACCTTTATTGAGCAAACAAAAATTTTATTTTGTTTTTTTATAATATCCAAATGGAGTTAGTAAAATGTGTGCATATTTGAAAATTGGGGTTTACCTGAGCTGTATTATAGACGATATACTCATTGTACATGAGCTCTGATGCCTTGACTTTTGATGCGACCGGTTTTCCACAAGGTACAATCACATCGTCCTTCCATGTTGCGTAATCCGATTCCAGTGGTACTTTCTTGCCCAAGCCTTTTGTTGAGTGCTTCCCTCTTGGAGGCTTATCCATATACTGAATCAAAAGTTCAAACATCACAAAAATATCAAGACTTGATGGGGGTGTTATTGCAAAATAATTATCCTTCAACTTTCTGAAAATGTCGCAAACCCGAATTTGGTTGTTTTATATGATAAATTTTACAACCATATCGATTGTTCCATGTATTACAAATAGCCAAACCAAAGGATGAGGTCATTTGTAATATTTCAGAAACTTCATGGATTTTATTGCAATATATCAAAACCTTCGCCTGATTTGTAATAATACGAATAGAAAAAAAAAACAATTATATTTTAAATACCTGTGCCTTTGTAAGCTCATAAACCTCGCCTAAGGCAACTTCACTGAGAAGCATAAGCCCCACAGGACTCTTCTTGTCTGTATAACAGTACTGAGCACTTTTACTGACAAGGTCAGCAAAGTAAATTCCCTTCCCAAACTGCACGTCATTTAAAAAAAAAAGTACACAATGAAAATTTGCTAATTAAAAAACTTCAAACACAATACAAAATTAGCAATAGATGAAAAACCATGTAGCCTGTTGCTGGAGCCTCTGGAGGAGCAATTCTCAACCCTTGACTTAGAATACCGACAAAATTTGTCAAACGTGATCCTGTAAGCCGAAAATTCACGTCATGTTTAAGTATACGATATAATATAGGCAAAATTGCATTTTTAGTCTTTTTGGTTTAACGCCATAGCAATTTTAGTCCCAAGATTCCAACATTTCGCATTTTGGTCATGTAATTTAATATTTTACTGAGTCCTCAAATTTGCAACAAATTCCCAAATTCCCAGATTTTCGATTAGCAATTTAAAATTATGTTGAAATTTCAGTCTTTTGATTGAAGCTAATATTAAATCACAAGATCAAAAGGTGAAAAGTTGGAATCATGGGACTAAAATTGTTATGACGTTAAACCAAGACTAAAAATGCATTATTACCTATAATATACTGTGATATAGACGACTAAATAAATTTCTTCATGCCCACAGATTATCATGACTCACCATGCCAGAGAAGCATTTTGTTCTTGAGTTTTGCTCGATAAGGGGCATATTTGTCGATTTCTCCTTCCCTATTAAGAGAAAACACTTCCTCCAATTCAAGAGCCCATTCCTGCGAAATTTTTATGCAATATTAATACATGATAGAAGAAAGGAAAAAAAATAAAAGGTTGTGAATCGGGGGAGAAAAAAAAAAAGGAACTTACAGTATGAGTGGGCGCATGAGTACTTTGAAGATACTTGTCGATGAGTTTAAAGTCTTCATCGTCATGAGAAAGAGGAGAAATATGACATTGTAACTTCTCGTACTTGTCATCAATGGATTCGCTACTATGACCGTCAAAACCGACTAATTTGGAAGCTATTTCAATATCTTGAAGTGCTTCAAGCATTTTCACCTAGAAGGGGTAAATATAGAAAAAAGAAAAGGAAAAAGGAAATATGAGAGTTTGATAAAATGATAAAGAACTTAACCAACACTTGACCAAATTCTAGGGACATTTGATAAAAAAAGAGCCAAAAAAAACTGCATGGTATAGAATTGGATTTGGAAAAGAAGCATAACCATTATAGTACCTTTGCTTTGAAGTCATCCTCATCCTTGATAACATGTGGATGAATAGAAGGAATAACTGTGAAAAAACGGTTGCTAGCATCGACTATAAGAGTCTCTTTTACAGCAGGGGCATGAGTAGTGTTATTCAACAAATCTTGTATCTGTGTTAAAGCCTCNAAAAAAAGAGGCAAAGTGTTTTACTTTACCCCTACCAATATTTATAGGCGTGATTGGCTACCAATTAAAACTGGTTTCGACTTTTTTTCACTGCTTAACTCAAATTTAATCCAACCAAACTCTCCTCAATATTATTAATATAATTAAATAATACCAACTAATAATCCTCATACAACACATAAACTTTAATTAACTATTCATCCACTCACATATTATCAACTACCTATCATTTTCAATAATTTCTCTCTTACTTTTACGTCACATCAATTTTAATCATTACATTTTAACTACTATTTAAATACAAACTCAAAATCTCAGTCAATCCTCTACTCAATCAACTTTCTCCAATAAATCTCACCCCCCACTAAGCAGATATTTTTAATCCAACATGAATCCACATTACTTGTAACATATGATAAACCCAAGATAAATGTACCTTTTTGAATGTTATTTTTGCTGAGCTTCCCTAGGGGCATTTCGGACAAATTGATCTCAAACTCCATCATAGCAGCCCTGCATGATTCGATATCTCAAATCTATTATATAAAGCAACACAAATTACAAGATTTTCATGAAAAAATAAAAAATAAAAAAGCCCTCAAACCTGTATGTTTCCACATTAAATAGCATCTTCATTAGTTCCACCAACTGAGGCGCAAGACGGGTGCTTTTGAAATCAAGTTGTTTCTTTGTGGTCAAATCTTTCACCCCATAATCCTACAAATATGAATCTCCAAGATCAAAATGGATGTATTTGGATAATTTTGGTTATTAGCCATGNATGTGAAAAAAAAAAAAAAAAAATCAACTTACAATGTCCAGTGGATAAAATCTTCCAGGTTGCTTGTGAAAATCCTTTTTACCTTCCCATGACTCCCATGAATTTCCAGTCTTCTCTAGAAACAGCCGTTTAAATTCATGTATCGCATCGGATTTAGACATTTCTTCGAGCTTATTTCCACCGATTTTCTCGTTTCCAACTCGACCCCATTTACGAAATACATAACAATCCGAGCTTTTGTCATCTTGAATGATTTGAAGAATATAATAACTTCACATAGCAAACCCGAAAAAAAAAAAGAAGTTATTTCATATAATAATTTGAAAAAGAAAATATAGTGGTCAAATAAAATAGAAAGTGCTTATGCAATGTCTACCGAGACAAGCAGACATATCTAAGAAAATCCAATTAAATATTTTTACCTATTGATCCCAGTTGATAGATCAGACATACTCAAAGTTGTATTATAAATACTCTTTCCATCCACCAGAATGTGTCCCGAATCTTGTAACCCAGAAGACTCATGCACGGAACTTTGACCCTTGACTTTGACTGTCGCCACCTCATGTCTCTTTTCCATGCTTTCTACTCGGTACAAATCAAAAGGGAGTTTTTTCTGCCGTTTAATGCAATCTGCTATATAATCTTCCCTCACGATTGGTATTTTCATCCTCCTGTCAAAATAAAATAGTCGAGTGGGAGGAAAAAGATAAACCGAACTACGGTAGAGAGAGTTGAGACAAATAGGAACCTTTGTAATTGAGCAGAGTATTTACCTTGCCTTTTTAACCTCAGTAGCATTGCCATCAAACCCACTAGTCACAACTAAGCAATTGGTCTCTGTCAAATACATATAAATGAGTTATTACTTTCTTTTAGATTCCTTTTTCCGCTCCAAAAATTACGAAGGAGTAAAGAAAATAACCCAATTTCAATTTTTAAGAAAACATAGAATACAAACCCTTTTTTATCTTTGGATGAACTTGTCCACCTGCTTCCTCAATTTTTTTCTTCCACTCAACCTAAGAGAGAGAGAAAGGAATAAGATACTTTTGTAGCACAAACTAATCCAATTGTTTATAGTTTGACAAGAAGGTAAAAAAAAAGTTACGTTAACATACCACTGATTCACTAGGTACGTCAAAAAAGGAAACTTTTAAATCGCCAATATTTTCAAGCTTGGATGACTGACTTAGCTGATTAGAAGCTTGAGTACCCGATGGCCCACAAGGCGAATTGGGAGGTAGCACTCTTTCTGCTTTTTTCACCTTTTGCGACTTGAACCACTGTAAAAAAAAATGATTCATCAATAAAATGTCACAAAAATTCTCTGTTAAGCCTAAACATGACATGAAAGTAACATGTTCGAACAAGTGTACATATATTGCTTCTTTATTCATACATTACCTTGAGAAGATAGTCATTAGTTGAATCTTCAGGGATTTTCCACTTTCCCTTAACACGTTGAGGTTCGGAAGTGGAATATGAACACTTAGTCCACTCTGATAAAAACCCACCGCATCTATATAAGCCTGAGGAGTACCGGAGCCAACCAGAACACATGGGGCATTTTGCAAGTGCCCCAAAGAACATCCCATCAACACTACACAATCACAATGTAAAACGGATAAGAGAGAAAACATGAACCTTAAAAAAGAAAAATATGGAATCAAAATGCATGTTAATTACATGTTTAGTTAATGTTTTGAGAGACTAAATAATGCATAACCACAATACTGTGGAAACCTCAAAGGAAAAGCTAACATATTTTTATTATTATTTTAGGAAACAAAAAAAAAACTAACATATTAGACAAAATAACTAAATCCTGGCAACTGAAAAACACATGTACTTTCATCTTATGTTTACATAACATCATAAAATCTGACACCATGCAAAATTGACTTATATTTCAAAAGACGGAACATCAAATTATTTGAAAGTGGTATCACATGATCCGGATATGATATTATAAAAGAAATCTGAAACACTACCAGTGTTCTCGTAGATCAAGTTCAGACCCTCTCGAGTCTTGTTCATTTGCCTCAAGCATCTCTCTCAACTCCGAAGTACTAACATACTTTTTGAGATCATCTTTGAGGGCCCATAATGCTCTCGTCTGCTTTTCCAGTTGGCTTTCCAGGTTAGACGCTTTGGATTGTCCGTCTTCCAACTGTTTAATCTTGTTTGAAGAAGCATCCCCACTAGATTTAGAAATTTTTGCTTTCGAATTACTTTCATCAGCTCTTTTCCGCTTAGTGCCCTCTTTGGGTATTGATTCTTCGTGCAATACTTCTTTGCCTGAAACAAAAAAATAAATAAATAAATAAATAATTGTGATTAAACTGATTATAATAACAATACCTGTCAGTCAAACGAAATTAAGAAGAAAAGAGTTAAACCTTTTGATCGGGAAGGATTCTCTTTCACGAATGAAAGAAGAGTAGCACGATCGGTGTCTGAAAGAGAGCCCCATCCAGAAAATTTATCGACTGCAGAGCTTGGTGAGGTCTCCAGGTAACATTTGGCATGATTCCAGGAAAGTGACCTAGCACCTTGACCTTCAGGTTTGGTTGATATGCGAATCTAACAAAGAAAACGATTTAATGTAGGATAAGAAAAATATCATAATTATTCAACTCTGCACCAGTTCAATGTTAAAGTTCCAACAAGATGAAACAAATGCAAACAAGTAGTTTCACATGGGAAGATAAGGATACCCAAAAAAAAAAATGTAATTCTTAAGAATAAATACATGGCCAACACAAGCTTTAACCAAAACCAATTTAGCATACCAACCTTGTAATGTTTATCCATTTTAGATATGATCAGTAAAAGATGGTGAACAGGAAGGGATTTCCCTGAATTTATCTTTCAGAAGTGAAAAACAACTGCTGGCACCACAACATATCTTCTATGTTACTGCTATTTTTCAATCTCAACCAACAATTAACAAGATTAGTACCTCTCCCTTCATAATTTTCTGGTTGCAAATCCTACAAGTAGCACGAGACGTTTGCGAAATCTCAACACCACATTCTAACTCCGTGGGAATAGGAGTAGAGGACACAGCACTATCATCAACATACTTCCTTATTTTCTGCTGATCTTCCCAACGAAGCAGTTCTAAGCCTTCAACATCATCGACCCTGTAAAATTGACAAGTACATGAATAACAAAAATGATTTGGAAATAATACTTTGCCTTTTTGATTCGGTATGATGTAAAATGTTGTATATTTTGGGAGACATACGATTTTATCTGCTTTGCTTTCCTCATGATGCATGCTGCATGGTTCCACATCTGGTTCCATTAACAAACTTATATCAGGTGGCGTGAGAGTGAGACAAATAGGCTATTCTTTTCAAATGTAGCAAAGAACAACTATGGAATAAAAGTGAAATAGGAATTCAAAGAATCTAGGCCATCATTAGTAATATTACGTCAAAAATTATCCGAGGGTACTGGAAAAAAACGACACGAGGCAATTTGCAATGTTTCAGAAAAATAATGATGACAAAGGTGTCAATGCAAATTAAACGGTTGGGAGAACTAAGAAATCTTAATGCTCAAGAATCAAGTGTGACTGCATATAAAGGAAACTGAACTTACATTGTCCCAAAAGTTAAACAGAAAGCACATGTATGACCAAAAAAAGAATGGAAACTTCTGGTCTTGGTAAGAAACATTAAAAGAACAACCCACTATCCTCAAATCACGTTAAACCTATCGAAATCAATAAACCTCAAAGGGCACTCGAAACCTGGACAATTTGCAGAAGAAATGCAGAGAAAATCAAGAACCCACATTAAACTCAATAAAAGGAAAAGACAGAAAATATAAGAGAATAGAGCAAAAAGAGTAGGTCTTTAGGAAACCATCAAGAATTTTATCCACTGTTAACATATAATGCCAAGCAAACAAATATCAAGAAAGCTTGTACTCTTCCCACACTGGGCACTCTGCACAATGTCCTCTAGCAGCATCACAAAAGCAAATCAATGAATGCAAATAAGGTCCAAAAAAAAAGGGAAGGCACTGCATGGCTACTAAACCTATTAATCACAGCAAAAAACAAAGAACCCACATTGTTCAATACAGCAAATAAAGGAAAAAGGACAACAAAATCAAAAAATGGAACAAGGGTTTCGTCAATAAACACCAATAATCAGCAAAACCGTACAAAACTGCGATAGTACAAAAAATGGAAAATTACAGGCATGAAACCGTCGAATTGGGTGGCTTGGACCATCTTTCCAAGCCTTAAATTTTCCTTATCAATAGAATTTTTGCAAGTCTTGCACGAAGATCTTGATGACTTCGCGTACTCCACTTTCCATGGCTTTGGAGGGTTCGCCATTTTTCCCCCCTTCTGCGAAAAGCAGACCTTTTTGTGTGGTTTCTTTTTTACAGTTACAGCAAACACTAGTGAGTGACTTGTGTGTCCGTATGAAAACGTGGGTTTGAGAGAAGTTTTTAAAGTTCAACTCTGATGGAGGAAAGTACTGCTGCGGAATTGAAAAAGTAGAAAAAAATAATAATAAAAATAAAAATTATAATAATAATAATAAAATTTGAAAAAAAGCTGCACCAGCCGGGAATCGAACCCGGGTCTGTACCGTGGCAGGGTACTATTCTACCACTAGACCACTGGTGCTTATTTTTAACAAAACTATACTGTATACTATTTGTTGTCTGTACCTATATCTATACTTATTTATATAAAAAGAGTCATCCCATTAACTAGAATTAGTAGAAAGAAAAGTTAAAGGTAATTAATGCATTCTATTTCCATCAATTAATTTTTATTTAATTATTTTTTCCCATTAAATCGGTACAAAAAAAATGTACGTAAAACAAAAAAAGGCAGATTTGATCGGAAAATAAAATCTTGATTTTACAAAAAATAAATCAGATGTCAAGCCTAAATTGAAGAGTTTGGTAGTCTATATAGATATTGATTTACGTAAATCAATACATCTAATATTTATAGTTTGTGTAGATTTAAAATTTTATCTTATCTTTGTACAAAAAATCTTATCTAATTGTACAAAAAAACAGATCTGATTTGTTCTTCTACATATAATATGATTCCGTATACCAATATTTTTTCTTAAAAATCTTAACAGATATTGATTATAATCTACTAATTATAAATTATAAATATCAAAATACTGAGCCATCGTCTTCCTCACTTTCAACCTCCTGCGAAAAAAAATATCCCCAATACTATCTTATTGTACAATTTTCTACGTATTATAAAACTTTTTATTTAATATTGCATCTTATAATATGATATTCCCCAAATATATATATCTCGTGTCTCGCACGAGTCACGTACTATATATATCCCGTACATTTTTCCTTATCTATGTATATAATTATAAGTCTGGATAAATAGCCTTAAAATTGTGCATCCCATGCATCGCACGGCTCTCCACTAGTTCTAAATAACAGCGCTTGTAAAGCTTTTCGAAACTGTAGCGCCATTTCTTTTTCACATAATCAAAACAAGAATTAAGATAGAATATGTTTTAGTTTCATCAGCCAAATTAAAGTATAATTATATCGATGCATGTAGTGATGGATCTAGAAATTTTATTCAGTGGGATTGATTTTAAATGTTAAATAAATCGAAACATTCATTTAATATAAAAATGTATTTACTATAAATATAGATACGTGCACCATCAAAATTTAAAAACTTATAATTCATATCACCCTCAAACTTAAATAAAAAAAAAAGATTTCATTTATTTATAATTTAAGTTCAACATCTATAATTTATGAAAAAATATTTGTTTTTGTCAAAAAAATTGTTTTAAATTAACTTCTGCACCACATTTCATAGCATTTTTTTTATGAGAGCTTATNTATATTATAAATAAAAAAATCTAATAACAAGTAGCAAAATTGGTAACTTTTAAAATATATTTATAATTTAAATTAACTAATTTTTTATTTATTTTAAAAGTCATCGATAAACATTCATATGAAAAACTCTAAAGCTCGTGATATCAAAAACCAAAGACGGATCTGTACTGGGCCAGGGGCCCCTCAATATATAATATATATAAAGAAAATACTAGAAAATATGTATAGAAATGTAAAAAAAATTACAATATATTAATAATTAAAAATTATTAAAATTAATTTATATATATGTATAAGAATTAAAAACAGAGGGGCCCACGGGCCTCCTGGCCCCCATGTAGCTTTGTCTTTGTTAATATTTAAAGTTGATGTGATGCGTAATAATTATTAGTTAATATTATGTAATTATATTGATAATATTGAGAATAGTAGAGTTAAATTAAAGTTATGTTAAATTTTAAGTATGAATTGAGTTACTTCATATACACTTTCCACTTTTCACTTTTGATATGTATGTGTTCCTTGAGGTGATTTCGAAAAAAGTGCTATTCTCATAGACTCTTTATTTCTCCATCCGATTTCCCCAAATCAAGAAGAAGAAAAAAAATCCTCATTTTAGTTTTCGCCGGCACTTCCCCTCTTCAGGGCTTTATGCGACGTCGGCAATCGCAATTTATGGAACTCGTCTCTCAAACCATCGTTTGTCCATCTACTGTGTAGTGATTCGCCATTTTCGTTGGTCGGCTATGTCCAGGTGAGTTTTCAGGTGGGTGTTTTAATAAAGCTACGAAACTTGTTTCTTAGAGGAAATTAAAAAAATGATAAAATTAAAGATAAAAAGTAGATATAAATAAAAGAATGGACTTAAAGAGAGTTATTTGGCTCGTTTATTCTGCCCGCGTTTGTGCCAATAAAATGAAATGACAAACAAAATCACTTTCAAAAAAATGATCAATAGCGGTTCCCTACTTATCCCTGTATGACTCGAACTCGAGACTGATCTCAAATCCCAAACAAAATCACTTAAGTGTATTTAATTGGGATATTAAAAAGTCTTACAAAATCTATACTTATATTATAAGAATTAACATTTATTCAAAATAGTAGGTCATAGTAGGTCAAATTATGGTCAATGTCGAATTTGCATTAAATATTTTCTAAAACCGGTAAGTTTTTGTCCTTTTCACACTTCTCATTTTTATGTCCTTTTCACACATCTAATTAAATCATTCCATATGAGCTTTTATCGTTACAATATATAGCGATATGTTATGACCTTATCCCATTGATATTTCCGTAAGCGTCTTTATTGCGTTCTATTTTTTGGTAACCACTCTATATCAATAACTGGATATTTGGTTAATGATAGCACACGTTTTTATTTCAAGGAGCGGATATTATTTGACCTTTAATTAATATGAACTGATTGCCTTGACTTTTCAAATTTAAAAACTTTTTTTTTATCGCACGTTGGTCTTTTCCTGAAGAAACCCGTTTTTAGTCACGACCAATTATATGTTGCTACTTCGCGTGTAAATAATAGAAGGGGGTTGAAAATATTAGTTTGTGATAATGAGGAGTTACCAAATAATCAAACTCATAATGTTGTGTATAAGAAGGTTTTTAATAATTTATGATTGTTACCGAACTTTTTATGATTCAACAATGTTCCTATGTATTTTAATGATTTCAATTTCGATCCTAATGCACGTGAGATTATATTATTCTTCCAAATTTTACATCCCGTGCATCGCACGGATTACGTACTAGTCTTGAGATATTTAACTTATTTGACACTAAAAATTTGATAAGACTTTGTAAAATTTGGTGGAGAAACCCTTACACGAAATCCTATCTATATTTAGATTTCACATAAGTCTTCGAAAAGCTAAAATTTTTAAGTCTCAAATTTAAAAAAAAAAAAAAAAGAAAATCAAAATGTTACTCAAAATTTCAATTGAATATACTCTGTGTTCTCAAACTAAAAGCTGGTAACCAAACATATTTTTAGTTACTCCGAAAAGTCAAATATGCAAAAATCACAAATAACTAATTTTTGTGGAGAAACGTGGTAACATAAAGCCCTGTCTAAAATCCACGCGGCACATTTTTCATGCCACGGTATTTGAATTGCCTTTTGATTTGAATCAGAAGTTGAGAATCCAATAACTTTTTAAATAAAAAGTAGAAAACATAAAGAAAAGACATGCAATATTATAATTTATAATAATGCATAAAATGCCCCTGCTGCGTATAGATATTTATATGATCAAAAATAAAATAAAAGTTCAGATTAATGGGACAAATTTGTCGAGCTTCTATCAGTGTCATGCCCCCAGATATGACGGTGACATGGAATGGACAATTATACATATTAGACATGAAAAAAATAAAAATACATTCATCTAAAATATTTTATAATTTTTTTACATAAATTTATCTACATATAATGTGAATAGGTCTTCATTCTTATTAATTAAAATTGATTTTACAACATTTATATAAAATTGATTTTATATATTTATATTACAATAAAAAATTTAATTAGGGGTAAATTTGGTTGAACCAGTTGAATTCCGTATCAATACTTTGTCCAATATATATAATTTATGGTACGTTATTTAAAAACAACTATTGCAATATCCTGTGTCACATAAGTACCTATAATATATATATATATATATATATACAGAATTTATATTTCATTTTTAATTAAAATATAAACATATATAAAATTCATAAAAGATAAAAATAAAATATACTATCCTCAACATCGTCTCAGGTGTCGTGTTGTATCATGTATGTAATAGAATAGCGAGTGCAATTAATACTCGAGCACTGTACATGACATATTTAACGAGTATATATTAAGGAACATATTTAAAGTGAGAAAATATAATTGAATCCGAGTGATTAGTTAAATTTTGAAATCAGGATGCCTATGAATAGTTGATACGTATGTTCATGCTAATAGAAATAATAGTCAACGGCAAATTAAATTATTTACTAAAGTCAGATTATTAAACTAATAAACCCTCTCCTCAAGACCATTTCAATTTCCTTTAATTCCCTTAAAAAATAAAAAACCTCTCTCAGTCAACATTCAAAAGTTCCATGCATGGACATTTTCCAGTCGCAGCCATTTTCATGCACTATATATATATACACACACAAATTAACAAACCCCTCTCAATTCACTTTCCACACATCAAAAACAAAAACACAAACATTTTCAATTTTCCTGCAAAACACATTCAAACATTTCAATTCATCATCTTCTTTTGACCAACAAAAAATGAGGTGTGATCAAAAATTAGTAGTGATTTTAGCCATTTTGGCTCTAATTTTCGTATCGAGCGTAAAAACAAACCGAGCCGCTAGAATTCTAATCGACGAACAAGTATTGATGAGCAAAAATAGGGGCAGAGAAGACCTTTTGCTCCCTTCCTTGCAACGAGGCCGGCCAGTCGGGCGCCCATCGCCAAATGGCTGCACGTGGGTTCCCGGCCAAGGCGGCAAGCCTTGCGCCACCACCGTCGGCCACTGGAATTTCGCCGGAAATAATTAGTCTCAGGAAGAAAAACGGTGTGGCTAATGGAACCAAATGGTGCTGGCACGTTTGTTTCATAATATGATTTATTTATTTGTTCATTTTTTTTAGTACATTGGTAATTTGATTTTTTTTTTAGCTAGGAGATGGCAGCATGCACGAGTAAAATAAGTCTTTCAATTTAATTACCTTGCATTGTAAAATTGTACATTTTGTAGGCTAATCAGTGACTTTTTTGTTTCATTTTTTATTTTTATTTTTTGCAATAAATATAAATGTTGATGAATGTATGATGATCGTCGGATTGTGACAATTTTCTACGCCATCTTTTATTTAAGAATCGGATTTTATCCGTGCAAAACAAATTATTGAATATGAAGACCGTATCACAAATATATGAACATGACTTGTGAGTCAAAAAAAACATATAGTGCTCGCTCGTTCAAAAATACTGCTAAAAGTAAGGGAAAATTCACAGGCTCGAGTTTCAGAGAAGAGGAAGGATAGTTAGGCAGAGTATTTTTAATTATGTAGCTATCTGAATTAGCTATACAAATTAAACTATTAATAGTTATTAAGTAAATGTCAAAAACATTTATTGTATTTTATTTCTTGGTTAGAGTATGTTAGTATTTGATGTTATTGGTAAAATATTAAGTGTAGTTTCTGAAATTATTCATAACAAATCCTTTTTTTTTTTTTAACAAAGATTTTTCAAATATAGCTTCTTTTATTATTATTATTTTTTTTTTTTTTTGAAGAAAAAAGATTAATTTATTCTAATTTAAGCAAACAATATAATTAGTGATGTTGATATTCAAACTTAATTAGTTGTTGACCCGTGCATTTGCACGGAAAACTATATGATAGAGGAAAAAAAAAACAATTGTAAAAATCTAACATAATTATTGGAAAAAAAAATAAGAAAGAACGTCTAAATATTATTAAAAACTTCTTTATATACAACGTTCATGGTTTTTGTATCGTTACAATCTCCATCACCACAAACCATTATTTTCTAACATCTTCGATTCGTGACTCTAGATAAAATCTGAATTATCAATCACTGTTGGTGTTTGGCACAATGGAGATGCCGTTGTCACACCTGACCATTTTCATGAGTTGTGACTTAAAATTTGAGTACACTTTTGTAACTCCTTTGATTGATTTATGCTCATAATATATGACATTCAAACATGTCATTTGTAACTTAAAAATGAAATTGAATGCTGAAAATTTTAGAGGGAGAATGAGAATGAAATTTAATGCATAGTAATAAAGTTAAATATTTTGTCGCTCCTCTTTATATATATATAGATATAGATTAATACGGGCCATTTTTATTTTAATTAACCAAACCAAGAGGAATGTTATTGGGCCGAATATAATTATTGGAACAGCATTTACAACAATATGTATCAGTATAATTGGGCCGACATTTTAAACAAAAAGAAAAAAATAATTCTAAGTCAACCCATGTTAGCTAGTTATTATCAAAATTGTGAGTCCAAAAAGCAAAGTTTTTGTGAGCCCTAAATTAATCGAGTCCAGCCCGTATAAGCTCTCGAATTGTCAGCCCCAAATTAATATATTTAACGCAGCTCAACCTATATATAGATTATCGAACTTGTAAAAGGCAGTAAGCACTTCTACGGTTTTAAATAGCCGGAAAACCTATTATGACGTCAATGTCGCCATTTCTTTCGATTTTATGTCGGCGCATCTCTAGTCTTTTCTCTCCGACTCAAACCGAACCCTAATCAATTTTCTTCAACAGATTCGCTGATAATCAAGCCAAATTATTTGTTTAATTCTATAGGCTACTATTCTCCGTTGAACGATCCAAAATTGAAAAAACAACTGAAAATTTATTGAACGATCCAAAATTGAAAAAACAACTGAAAATTTATTTCGAGCCATGAGAAAGATCGAAATATCAAGATCCTCTCAATACAAAACCGTTTTACTAAATCGTAGTAAATCGGTCCAAATCGGGCGATAACAACAGAGATATGTTAAGATATACAGTTTTATTGTTTTTAATTTTAATTAAAATTTGGTTTTCAAGTTTTTAGGCGTTTTTCGTGTGTTATTTTTTTTTTATTTATTTATTTTTTTAGATTTTGATTTCTTACAGATATCATATCAGCACCTTTCAAGATTTATTTTCCATATTTTAAACAAATCTTTAAATTACTTTGAAAATATCTTAAGATCTGAGTAAGTTTTTAGAATAACTTTCGCCAGATTACATGACAGATATCCCAGGAGGATTGTTGGCCTCTGTTGCTAGCACATAAATTACTCGCAGCGGTTTTTCTTTAAGATTTCGTAAATATAGTTCTGAATATACTAAAATATTTAGTTATCTAAGATTATTAAAAGTTTTTGTCCCGATTTTGTAAAAAAAATTGTAAATAGTTAACAAATCTACTAAGAACTTAACCAATTTCATATTATTTTTGGAAAAAAAACATATTTGACTTTCTATAAATTATTTTTATTTTATTATTATTTTATCTTTAAAACTAACACGTGGTGCTAAAACCATTTTTTATTTGCATTTTATACAAGTTTATAAAAAATTTATATTATATTTCATTGTATGTTTTTTTTTTGAATAGTTCTGTATGGGTTAGTGTTTTGATAAAATGTATGTATTGTTTTAAAAATTTTGCTCGTTGTAGCAGAAGAATTAATATTTTAATAAATGATAGATTAACTTTGAGCGGGGTATATTGAAAACAATGATTGAACATGAAGTAATACCACACGTAAGTTGATACTCCAATTTAATATGCTTTCATTTTGTTTTTCATATGTCAAAACTAATATTTTTACCGTTTGTAAACATATATGTCTATTCGAAATGTATGTTAGGTATGTACGTGTATGTTTGAAATATATGTTAGATATGTCCGCATAAAGAACCGCCACCAGCTACGATGTCCTCTTGCAGATTTTTTATGGTGAGAAATAATGGTAATAGTAATAGCAGCAAACAATTCGACCAGAAGAGCTTGAAAATTAATTTCTTTGATCGGTGAATTTTCTTTCTTTAGTCATCCTTTATTTTGGGAATAAATTTGGTTAATGAATTTTCATCCAAGGCACCTCCAAACCGCACCGGTAGCTCAAGCCACGCTATCACAGCCCCGGTTCCCGACTCCCCCGCAACTCACGGCCTTCAGCCCCACCTCGAGCCTCCAATTCCGGCAAAGTCGACGTCGGCGAGCTCACCTCAGGCTTCCTCTCCCGCAGCTCATCTCGTCGTCCTCCCGAGCTCACGTTTCCTGCTCCGGCGACCACCCTTCACGCCGTTGCACCAGTCATCAATCTCCGTTCGTCCGGCGAGCACACATACGACAAGTTCCACCCCCCTCGTCCTGTTCAGCCCTCCATCCTGCCGGCAAGCTCATTTCATGCCGGTTCCAGCCCTCCACAGCCGAGCCTTGCCGCCATCTTCACGGCGAGCCACCTCTGGCGTGCACCTTACCTTTACGACGTCCGTCCACCTTAGACTCGGGTCCCAGATCAGAATCAGATTCGCGAGCCCGACCCGGTTTGTAGCCCCAACACACGCCTCTCATTTTCGGCAGCCTTCATCGTTTCGATTTTTATTTTGAGTCCAATTTGAGGTATAATTGCTGAAACTCAACTCCATGGCATTAGACAAGAATTTTAATTTATTTTAAAAATGTTAGCTGCATAAATTTGAGTAAATATGATTTTATATGGATTTATTGAGTTTAACGGCTAGAAATTCATATGAGTAAATATGATTTTATATGGATTGATTGTGTTTAATGGTTAGAAATTCATAATATATTGAGTGCTGATTAGAAAATTAGATTCCAATTTGATAAATCATATTTTAATGTCTTGAGGCTTAGGTTAAAATTTAGGGAATTTTGGAGTTTGTTATCTATACGAGCCGAATTTATGAAATCGGATTGATAAAGCCCGACTTTTGTTGAATACATTAGGAGCTGATTCGGACCGTGAGATTTTTACCATAAATTATGTATTTGTTGATGATGCTGTGGTTTAAATTTTGTAGGTCAAGTAGGTCAAGTTTGTCCTTACTTCATGCAATTTATGGTTTGTATAGCACACAATCTTCATTATATAAGCACCTCAACTTTTTATTCATTTATTTGTTGTAGCTATGAGTGCATGTGTTGTCATTTCATTTTTCCTGAATTACCTTTATTTATCTAGTTTTGCTATATATGGAAAATGAAAGAAATGTTTTGAATACGGACAAGAAAAAAAAAAGAAGTATTCTGAATAGATATTGCAAAAAGAATGCAACAATTGCTTCTCTATTCTTATCTGACTTGAAAATTTCAAATATATCATCAATTGTCTATTAGTTAATTTGTTTACTTTCATATGTTGTTTGTTGAAGCATACATTGTTACAATGTATGAAGGACAATATGCTGATTAAAATTTACGAGTGATGAAGGTAATTCGAAAATTTATTGTAAATACTTTAATATATGTGTGTTTAAGCCAAGAATCTTGCTACTAATTTAGACTATCATAATATTTTTGCTTTTTAATCCATTGATTTTTTCCTGACTTCTTTGTGTTAGTTGAAGCTTTGGACTAATGCACGCACAGGTAGTCATTCTTCTTATTAAAATTAAAATATCCAGGTATTGTTTTTTGCATTTGGTATATTATTTATTTCCATGTTTTTCCAGTTCAAGTGCTATTGTTGTGTTTTTGTGATTTTTAGTTTAAAGTTTTGGTAAGACTATATGTTAGGATTGGTTGTTTGTTAATCGAAAAACTTGAATTAAGAAAAAAATAAAACCTTTGATATCATGTTCCAATTATGACTTGATGGAAGAGAATACACTAAGAATGACACATAAACACAACCTTTAGTGTGTGCATTTCCTTTATATATACTTTTACTAAGTCACTTGCTGAAGTTTGTCATCGTGGGTCATATAATCATTGTGCTTCATGTAACTGACAAATATAATATAAGATAACATGTTTTTGAATTTTTTCTTATGTAGTATGAATTCTCTTATGTTCATTCTTGGTTAGAAATGAATAATAAAAGATAACATGTTTTTGTATTTTTTCTTGGTAACTATTCTTTTATATTAATCCCTCTCTTCTTTTTTTTTTTTATCAATTACAGTTCACCCTTTTCCTTTTTTCAATTACATTTCACTCTTTTCCTAATTGACATTGGTTTCATCGATGCTGCAAGATTATGGTTAGTGTCTGCCACGGATATGATCGTCGTGGCACTAAAATTCTGACAATTAAACACAAAATCAACACCAAAACATGCAATTAAGGTTTATAAAATTCATGGCAAGAACAATCAAGAAAAGAGGGCTGAGTACATACACTTACAACATCTAAAACATATAACAAAGGCTGAGTAACTATAAAAACCAACCATAAACATAGGTCCAAACACAGATCCAAATAAATTATAAATTTGATCTAAACATACAAAACAAAACTATGATCGATCCCTACTGAATCACAGTGTTAATCTAGAGTTTGATCCAAACATACAAAATAGAACTATGATCTATCGCTACTGAATCACAGTGTTAATCTAGAGTTTGATCAAAAAAACTATTGTTCAACTACAAATCCCATTCAAACATATAAAACATATGGATTTAACGATCTCTATAGAGGAACCTGAATCATAGTGTTATATGAGAGTCTGATCTATAAAAACGAGTGATCTGGCCGTTTCTTGACGGTCTATAAGCACTTACTTCCTCCAAGTACGGCAGTAGACCTTAACTGATGCTGTAGCCATGGATATGACTATCCTGGCACAAATGAAAGCGCAGTGGCGAAAAAAAGAAATTTCGTTGTTATTTAAGTAATATTGTAACGATATAATATTAACTTTAATATCGTCCACTTGTAGCTGTAGCAATGAAATGAACACTAGGTAAATTCAAATCCCTTATTAGCGTGCTTGAAGTAAGTACATCCTTATGTTAAAATCCCTGGATGTACACGTAGTTCAAGCATGCTTGTAAGGGATTTTGATTCGACACTAGGTAAATTCAAATTCCTTATTAGCATGTTGAAGTACGTGTACATTTCCTTATGTTAAAATCCCTGGATGTACACGTTGTTCATGCATGCTTGTAAGGGATTTTGATTCGACACTAGCTAAATTCAAATCTCTTATTAGCATGTTTGAAGAACGTGTACATCCTTATATTAAAATCCTTGGATGTACACGTTGTTCAAGCGTATGCTTGTAAGGGATTTTGATTTGTGGAGTACCTAGTGTTCATTGCTACAACTATTCTACAAGTGGACGGTGTTAAAGTTAAAATTATATTGTTACAGTATTACTTAAATAACAACTAAATTGTTTTATTTTCGGCCACTAGACTTCCATTTGTAAGTCCATTTGTGCTAGGACAGTCATCATAACCGTGACAGACACTAATTGACCACCACCGTCAGAACCATAATCTTGCACTAAGGTCTACTACGTCAATGTCACTACCTACTTGGAGAAAGTAGGAGTGCTTTTAGACCGTCAAGGAAATGTCCAGGGGCACTCGTTTAATATTGTGATTCAGGTTCCTCTATAAAGGTTCCTCTATAAAGATCCATGAAATCGATCTATTTTGTATGTTTGGCTGAGGTTTGTAGTTGGGCATTGTTTTTTTCAATCAAACTCTAGATTAACAATGTGATTCAATAGAGATCGATCATACTTCTGTTTTGTATGTTTGGATCAAACTCTTGATTAACACTAGATTAACACTGTGATTCAGTAGGGATCGATCATAGTTTTGTATTGTATATTGGATCAAATTTATAGTTTCTTTGGATTTGTTTGTACCTATTTTATGGTTGTGTTTTCATAGTTTGTTGCATGTTTTAGGTGCTGTATGTGTATGTACTCAGCCTTTTTCTTGATAGTTGCCATGAATTTTATGAACCTTAATTGCGTGTTTTGGTGATGATTATATGTTCAATTGTCAGAATTTTAGTACGGTTGACCTTAGTATGTTTGTTTATGCTTAAGAGAAGAAATGAGTTGGCTTTAGGCTTGATTTGAATTGTATAAGTAGACCCCTTTAGCCTCGTATTTTTTCTCTCTTTTTTAAGTGGTAGTCTGAGAGTTGTGGGAAAAAGCTCGAGGCTGGCCGTCTT